CCATGTGAAGGAGACTTTTTTGAACGCCCACACGCATGCTTCACGCGTGCAGAATACAGACCATTCACGGTACACCATATCACATATGTGATCCCCAATCTTTTGTGTTTCAACTTGTTGAATAAATTCAACACAGATTATGCCACGTCCTTCTACCAAAAAATTCAACAGGCTCATTGTGGTGATTCAACAGTTGAATAATTTATTCAACAGAGCCATTGTAAATGGTCTTAGACAATTTTTTAGCTTTCTTCAAAATATACAAAAACAAAAAATTCTTCAACATAAATACGTAATAAAACATACCATTTTTTTCCAACAAACTCCATATATTAAATCAAAGTTGGTCGGTTAGGAAAGGCTATTCCGATTGGAGCAGCTCCTACCGGCTCATCGAGATCTACATGGAAAAATGGCCACTTACACGAGCCCCTTTTGTAAGGGCATCAGCATTGGCATTACATGAACGTGGAATAAGGGATAGTCGAAAGAAAACAAAACTGTCTCTAAGCTCATAAAGGTAGTCCAACTCTGTCTAGAACACTGGCCAATCCATCGGGTTGTCAATCATCTTCAGTAGGTCCGAGCAGTCCGTCTCAACCCGAATTGCGGTGATGCGATTTTGTTTGAGACATTCAAGTGCCCAGAGAAGTCCATCCAGCTCTGCGTGTAGTTCCGAAAGGCTTCTCTGACAGCCTCGCCTGCCGATGTACACTTGTCCTCAGATATCAGTGAAACACCACCCCAAACTACTGTTGGGCCCATGCTTCACCCATGATGCATCGATTTGGCATACCGGAATATGTGGGTCCCCAGAAGGGATGGTCGTTAAAACATACCAAATATTCAACAAATATACCATATCGATATTCCTTTATTTTCCCACGCAGTGAAATAAATAATAAAATTAAACTGACATTCTAAAACAACAAGACGGAGCTTGGTTGGTTATGTCTAGGTCTTCGTCTGTGGCTGTGGAGGTGGTGGATTCGCTGGCGTTTGGTCTAGTTTGGTGGTGCTCGCGTATCTCAATCGTTGTTGGCTCAGATCTGGATTTTGTCTTGACCTRAGCATAGAAGGCGGAGCTTGCTTTCGTCTTCTCCGTTTGACTGGGTTTCTAAATCTGTTGCTTTTCCCCCTTTATGGCTTGTTGTCTCGTTCTMTTGGCTTGCTTTGATYGCATCTTTCCCCGAGCTTTGGCTTGTCCGTTAAGCTCTTATGCTCTGTTTGGTAYATGGTTTTGKCTTCTCTACTCCTTGTTTATTCATTGGTGAAGGGTTTGTGGAGTTGTTCGTGCAACAGGTTGATTTCTCTTTGGTGATGATGAAGATGTTCTCGGGGCAAGTCTTCCCCCATCCAACAGTTCAGTGTCTTTGTTCTCCGTCTTTTCCGAATAATTCTTCTAGCGCGATGCATTTCAACAACTTTCCCTCAATGATATTGGGTTGAGTATCAGTGAAGAAGTATCAGGAGTGGTTTGGATTTGCTTTTTCGCTTTGTTGGTGATCTTCTATGCCTTGGTTCTTATTGCTATAATCATCCTCGATTTGGTTTATACCTAGTCACGACCTTTGAAGGTATTGGTTTCTAGGTTCTCTTCAGCTCCTGCGTGCTCGTCTTCCCTTGTGTGATTTTCAGGTTCAGAGTTGCTTCCCATCTTTACCTTATGTCTTGGTTGTAAGCTTGCAGAGATGGCTTTGGTTTGATTGGATTAGTCGTAGATCGGGTTTAGTTGTGTTTTATAGGTTGAAACTGGGTTTTCGGTTGTAGCTTTGGTCTCCGATGTCGTACTTGTTGATATTGGCTTCGTATTTCAATATCGTATCCCAAAAACGTATCCCAAAAATGTATCTAAACTCGTTTCTGAGTATGTTTAATATAATATTTAAGATG